TATATTTTTGATCAGTGTCAAATTTTGAATCGACTGAAATATGTCCGCCAGTCCATCTGTCCGTCTTTCCGTCTATGTAATGTCTGTTGCAAACATTCTCCTGCTCGCAAAAATGAAGCTTTCACCTTCAAGTTTGACAGAAATATTGGAAATTCTTGTGCGCGGACCGGTATCGAAAATGGATGAAATCGAGGGATGCATCTATAGCATCACATAGATTGAGAACGCTTCGACTTTTCAGAAGGTATAAAAATTATTTTTTTTCTCATTATTCGTGCAAATTGACCATGCCTACCCAACACATATACAAATTTAATTGGTTTGTTAATATCTCTGTAAAGCACAGAAACAAACTCCAGTTCAAACTCGGAATGCACTTAAGCATGTCCGTCTGTCCATAAGTCTACCTGCCCAACAATGCAGTATCTGTGGCAAATTTTCTCCCGTTCGTCTATAAATTTGTAGCGGTTAGACTGATCCAGACATGTATGCAAGAAAAGCTGTGAGCATTTTTGCTTTCTGTGTTTTTTGCTTGTTATTTACAAAGCGTAGCACTTACACGATATAAATTTCTAATTTAATTAGGAAAATAGATTATCATAAAGTACGAAAGTTTAATTTCTTTCCTTTTTTTAGTCTTGTTTGGGATCACAGTGATGAGGACAAGAGATTCGATCACAACCGAACTTAATTTTCTTACTTGTTTTTGTATGCGACCCTTAAAGTTCTAACCACAAATGAATTTCATCCGTTCAAAGATACTTGTTTCGAATGTATTTTATGTATGAATGTACATCGTATGGGCGATTTTTAATGTCTTTAGACTACTTCGAAACATTACGAGCTGAATGACTGAACCAACACATTGTTTTGTGATAGTCAAAAATTAATCAGAAAAATTGTTTATTTTATGTCATATCCCATCTAGTTAACAAATAAATTTTTCCCTCTTATAAATATTGAAACGAAAACTCAATGCTTTTTTTTAAAGGCGTTTAAAAATATGTAGATAGATTTTTTCTACTTTTGAAATTTAAAAAAAAAAAAAAAAAGGTTATATACTACAAGTTGCCGGACTTCCACTTTGTACTCTGACTGGATGGAAGACCAGATGATTAGACCGAGCCTGAGCGACAGCTTCGTTTAAGTCGTTGCAAAATTTTAAGATATGATAAAGCAAACTGCAATTATTTTTAGACAACTACAAGCTGTAATAAGCCATTGTGCTAATCCTTATCTAACACATTAACGTATCAACTGCAGCTGGGAAGGCAAAATTGAAAAGAAATATAACAATTAAAGAAGTTATATGCGATGTTTGACGTTTATTTTGTACCCCCCGTCTTTTCCTTAAAGCAAGCAAAAGTATTTTAATCGTCCACTGGCGACCATTAAATGCCTAGCACTACCCGGCTTAATATAATTATTTACAGGACCTTATATTTTTATGGCTTACATCGCTTATTGTGCAGACATTGTACATTAAGTTTGCGCAGATCTACGCCCCAACCAAAAGGACTTGACATAGTCCCGCCTTTTATTATACCGCTAAACTCGTCCGTCTGTCTTGTTTCCTTGTGTTTAACCTACACGTTGTTATTCTTGATACATTTCACGGAAATTTGGTACACCGGGGCGAACGTTACTGAGAATGATTCCGGACCACATTCCATATAATGCCTTACTTTGAGAAGTCCTTATGTTAATAACTGTATTGAATGAAATGGTGTAGCATATTTAATGGTAAATTGCGTCCCACTTGTTCCATGTAAAGATTTTTCAAAACATGGTATATTTTGTGGAGCGATCGGAATAGTAATCCAATCCTACTAATTTTCAATAACGTTCGCCTTTGAGCCTCAGACATTGCGTCCTGTCGGATAGACATCATACGAACAAGCGGAGACACAGGAAGGCAAACTTGCACTTATTTCTTGAATCGATCAGTATAATGAAGAGTGCTTCTGGGCATTGTATACATTCTAACAATCTCAATGTACGTGGGTATGTAAAAAGAAAATACAAAAAAGTAATATCTCGACACTCTCTGTACTATTGGGCAGACGCGGCCAATTATTTTCCATTTTTATATAGATACTTCAGGATCTCTCATAGAATCTGCAGATTTTCTGTTGTAACTCCTTTACATTTGGCCTTTGAAAATAGAGCTGCCCTCAATTGAAGTTGGACTATAGGCATATTCTTTCAAACTTCCTGCATGAACATCTAGTAACCGTTGAAGACGATGTCTTCACTTTTACGATCAAGAGAATGTTCACCATAACAAAAGGGAGAACAAAGGAAACCGATAAATAAACTTGAAGAGTTTAGAAAAAAATGATAGGCAAAACGACTTCATCACAGCTAAGTGTAAACAGAATTACTCTTGAGTTAGGCAAAAAGAGAAAACAATATGACTTTTAAAGTTTTAAAGTATTATTGGAGCCTTTGAATGCATGAATAAATTAGCATACGATTCGTAAAAGAAACAGAAGTAATCTAAGGCGAAGCCTTAGCAGATTCATATGGATTCTGCAAATGAAATGGTAAAGTGAACCATTTGAGTTCGACGATATAACTTTACGAATATAAAAGAAAGGGGGAAAAAAATGTTCCCACTAGATTTTCATTGCATTCAGATGGGTTCATTCATTCATTCATTCATTCATTCACTTTAGTTTATTCTCCACTCAAATATTCCTGCCTTTGGCATACGTTAATAAATAGCAAGTAAAATATTTATATTCGAATGTGGTCGCATCTTTTCTATCCACCATCTTTATCCTAAAAAAGTCTTGAAGAAATAGCAGAAAAAAAAAAAATGTCCTTGCCTTGCAATATTAGTTGGCATGGCTGAGTTTTCCTTTTTTTTTGTAGAATACATGCGGGAGCTTCCATCGTGTGTTTTTTGTGAAGTAGCCGATGAACACCAAGCAAACAACCCAAAAAGCAGAGATATCCGCTGTTAACGCTTTACTGTGGCCGATTTGGTCCATTTTCAATATCTGCCCAATATCGTAGAAACTAATCTAATATTTATAATCTAGAAAATATAAATGGAGAGCTACAAATTGGTAACATACTTATGGAGTAGAGTAGTATATTATGCCGTCCATGCATTCCATCCAAGAGACATTAACCAATGTACAAAGCCAATGATGGAAATGGTTTAGTGTGCGTGTGAAGGAGATTTCAATGTTAAACATGGTTTTCCCTTTTCCCAATCCGTAGAGATTCGAATAGCATGGAAATTGGCCTATCGTCTGCTTCGAAGCATTGCTAAATGTTTTGCATTTTTTTTTTTTAATTTATATAAAATTGTTTTTTTAATTTCGATCTCTTATTTAATTACAAAATCATATTTTAAACTGAATTATATATTAAGGAGTTTAGGGGGCAGGTGTTTTCTTCTCTCTACGCTTAGAAGTAATTCAGTTATTAATGGTTATGCATAGAAAGTGAAAATAGTTATGAAAAAGTGTAAAAAAGACCTCGTACCTCGTTAGGGAGAAAAAGAAAAAAAGTAGAAAAAATGCAAAAAGGAATATGTATAGTACTTGTAGATCGTTGATATGAAGGTCTTGCGAAATTTCAAATTTCGTACTAAGGTTAACAATTAATCTTAAAATTAATTGTTAAAACCAAGTCCTTATACCCGTCACTGCAGGTTAGAGGTATATTTATTTTTTCAAAATGTTTGCAACACCCAGAAGAAAGGTTAAAAACTCGATAGACTATCTATATTCTTGATCAGCATTAAATTTTGGATTGATGTAATCATGTCCGTCTGTCACTCTCCTACGTTCATCTATCTGCCTACCCATCTGTCTGCCTGTTAATCTGTTGATTTGTCCACCAATCCGTCTTTTCAGCTGCCCCTCTGTCCGTCTGACCGTTTGTTCATCTGGATTATATCTGCTATGAAAATGCTTTCACTCGTAAAAATTAATATATCAAGTTTGAACTTGAAAATTAATGGAATCTTCTCGTACGTTCTTGGAAGTTTTTGTAGGTAGGCATTGAAGATAAGCAAAATTGGTCAGAGGACAATGCGCGTGCAATGCGAGATAAACTGAGAACATGTCTGCATTTTCTATTATATTAGAAAGTAAGAAATCATCCTCCCCCGCCCACCTGATATAAAAAAGAATGAAATTTTCTTCCTTTGACTTTTGTTTTTTCAATCCATTTTAAGATAAAGACGGTGAGTATAAGAAAATTCGGGTAGAGATGACGCTAAAGTGGAGCTATATGAAACATAAAAGAATGAAATATGATTTTGATAAACAACTTTATGTTCTTCATGTTTAAAAAGAAATTTCTACTAATTTGCATAAAATAAAAGAAAATGCAATGAAATGTGTTTTCGACATAAGAGACGCTAAGAGTTTGTAAATTGCTGCAGCTTAAGCGTAATGCAGGGTAAAAGGGTGAAGGAGTTTTGTCTTAAGCCTTGATTCTGTGTAAGCTTTGTTTACAAGGCTTACACAAACAGATTACTAAACTTAGCGTATTCCTATTAAAATAGGGTGCAAAAGAAAAGGTATTGAATCGACTGTATAAATAGGATTTTATATTCGAAGTTGACAGCTGCAAGATACAAATACGTAAAAGCGAATACAGAAACATTTTAATAATTTGTTTACCGAGTTATTCTTTAAAAATAAATATTTCTAGATAATGAAATACTAGGAAAAGAAAAGGAAGACAAGTAATGAACTCGGAAAGAAAACGAAATAAAAATACTTTTCTTATTTAAAATTTATTATAAATTTGTCTATCGCGTAGAGGCAATGACTCATCCCCAGGTATTTCTAATCCTATTTAATTAAGATTTATTTTATAAAATGTTTGTAAACGAAACTGAATATTTTGGGGGGAATAGCTTTGATATTTACAAAGACTATCTCAGCTTAGTTAACGTTTGCTAGAGAGCTTTAATGTATCATTTCATCTTATTCTTATATTCTTTTTCTCTTTCTCTTCTTTTATTTGAACAGGTGCATTTTTGATACCATTTATGGTGATGTTAATATTGGAAGGCATACCATTGTTTCTAATTGAGTTGGGTATTGGACAACGCATGCGCCTGGGTGCGCTGGGCGTATGGAATACAATACATCCCTGGCTGGGTGGTATTGGGATTTCATCATGTATAGTGACGTTATTTGTAGCATTATATTATAATGTGATTATTACATGGGTTTTTTATTATTTATTCAATAGCTTTCGGGTGAGTACAATTTCACATATATACGGTGAAGAGTTGCACTTTAGAAGCGATATAGAAAATGAAAATAAGTAAATCAGTGTAAGTGATTAATGTTTTTCTTCATTTTTTTCTTGTTTTTTTTTTTTTTTTTTTTTTTTTTGATTACAGTATCCACTACCGTGGGGATCGTGTCCCACGAACGGGAATGGGAGTGTGGTGGAAGAGTGTGCACGTTCTTCAGAAACTGCATATTTTTGGTATCGCACTACGCTGGACGCGGCGCCGTCTATGGAAGAGCCTGGCGGCTTAAAATGGTGGATAGTTTTATGTTTATTGCTTTCGTGGACGATTGTTTTCTTTATTGTCATGAAAGGCATACAAAGTTCCGGTAAAGTGGTCTATTTCACTTCTCTGTTCCCATACGTAGTATTGACGATATTTTTTGTGCGCGGCATAACGCTGCGAGGAGCCAGTGCTGGCCTAATGCATATGTATACACCGAAAGTGGAGAAATTGAGTGATCCGACCGTGTGGCTAGATGCAGCTACGCAGGTATTTTACTCGTTTGGTTTAGCATTCGGTTCATTGATCGCTTTCGGCAGCTATAATACACCAAAAAATAATTGCGTACGTGATGTTCTACTAGTTTCGGTGTGCAACGCGATCACCGCAATCTATGCTAGTGTGGTAATCTTTGCTATACTCGGTTTTAAAGCGACCGTTAATGTGGATCGTTGCATTGATCTGTGAGTAGAATATTACATGGGCTTGAATAGCGTATGCGAGAGTATATTCGTATTCGATTCATTGTTATTGAAAAATATCATTGCATTGTTTTAATGGATTTCATTGATTAATATCTGATGGGTATTCTTCAATTTCAATATCACTTATTATTACATATTGCATCATTTGTTTACATATCACCTTAATTGATTTGTAACATTAATTGTTTACAATTTTTATTCAATTACTGTTCATTTCTTAATAATTGTGTTGTTGTTGATCGAAAAGTTATGCGTGAATTTCAATTCATTTCGTTTAAAAACATAACTTTGATATTGAATTGAATGATATCTTCAAGTTTCACTCGTTTCCGTTATATACGAAGTGTTATATTGGATTGCGTTTTAAACTTTTTTACAATTTTTTTTGCAGCAATAAAGACATTTTAGTTAAGCATTCATTTTTGCCTTACAAAAATGTCACAATGGAAAAATATGAAGAAGTAATGGCCGGCATAAATGCAACCGAATCGAAACTGCTCGAATTGGAGGAGTGCAGCTTATCAACGCAATTAGATAATGTAAGTGAAACGAAACGTCACTACCTTTACAATCACTAGCAAGAATTATTTGCCTCTTTCTTCCATCAACATAGATTGTAAGGACCAAAGTCAGTTTCCTATATGTAGTTTAAGGTCATTATTTAATCTTTATTTCCATACATATATGTTATCATATCCTCGTATTAATTGAGTATAGTTAGTTTTTGTTTCCAATGATTGTTATTAGTTAAAGATGGCAGGCTGGAAACCGCCTGCTTAAGACTGCACAACACTATACAGCCGAACGAAAAGGGATGGGAATAGCGCTTTGGAGATAGGACAGTTGACATATATGGTCACATTACCGTTCGGTAACACTAATCAGATCGTACGAAAATATAGAGAAGAAGAAGAAGACCACTTCCTTTTTCCTTCTTCTGTAGCGAATCGCAAAGGTAGACTATGTGAAGTTAGGTAGAGGGGTAAGAGAGTCTAATTTTCATCTCTCCACCTTCATTCTCTTCATTCTCAACTCTCAAGTCATATAAGTTTCTAAAGTGGAAGCTTTATACGAGGAATATTTGCGATGTAATTTTATTTTCTTTACCTTCCACGAAAGCCGCTTATGCTTCCGGATTTCTTACAAAGAAAAGCCAATTATGTGTAAGGGTTTCGCGTAAAGAAGAAGAATGGAAAACAATTAAGTTTGTTTTAGTAGCAGAGAAGAAATCCCGACGCTAGATGTGCAGTCATTCATGAAAATAGTTGCTTTCTTCTCCAAAGCGTGGATTTTGTATTCTGGGATAGTATGCGACAGTTAATCTCTATGCGTTCGCTGCTAAAATATGGATAGAAATACAAACAAACTCACTTTGTTAATAGAAATGAAATGAAAAGCCAAGTAACGACATTATCCTCTCACTCTAGCGTTTTTCATCTTACTAGGGCACCCTTAGAGCTTATTGTTATCTTCACTGTTTCTTTGTCGAACTAAGTAATTGCTTAAATATTCAAGAACGATGGCCAAAAGGTCTTTTCATAGGCTAAAGATTTTTTTGTGTAATGTGTAACCTTGACTTTTCGATCGAGGTCACTACTTAGGACTTAACTTTCGCTCTTTTCGAAGCCGTGTTTTCTTTAAAGTCGTTGTATTTGTGGCTTAATGGTAACATTCATTAGCAAGTTAGCAGTTAAACTCAATTATTAACCGACTTTTTCGAAGAAAAATTCAAACAAGTTTAACTAGAGTTCGATTAATAATTCATAAACAGTTTCCTTCTCACCACTTAAGATGGGCGTATATTTGCTTTGTCACATCGGTAACCAGTTCCCAGCAGAAAGTTTCAGAGATCTTACCAAATGCATATCTTTTTAATCCTTGATCTGTGGCAATGCGGCCAAAAAGTATCGTTGCACCAATGAACGAAAAACATCTGTAGGAAATATCTTCCAATACATTGATAAAATTATCCCTATTTTCTTGCTAGCGTTACTCTCTTGATGTTAAAATATTTTTTTGCTTCTTATTGATCTTTTTCCTTAGGCGGCTGAAGGTACCGGTTTAGCTTTTATAGTTTTTACTCAAGCTATTGTGGAACTTCCTGGTGCTCCATTCTGGGCGGTGCTGTTCTTTACTATGCTATTATCATTGGGTTTGGGCTCACAGATTGGCATACTCGAGGGCATGCTGTGCACACTGTTTGACATCGACATTATTAAGCGGGTTAAGAAACAACATGTGACTGGAGTGGTGTGTCTTTTCTGCTTCATTGTCGGTTTCATCTTCTGTACAGGTGCTGGCGAGTATTGGCTCAAGATGTTTGATTCATTTGCCGGTACCATTGGGCTGGTTGTGGTGGCACTCATGGAAATGATATCGGTTGTCTATATATACGGGCATGAGAGGTATTTACATAAAAAAAAATAAAAAAATAAAAAAAACGTTAGAAGAGCTTTTGATCATCGTTTCCTTCTATTACTTTTTAGGTTTACCGAGGACATCTATCAAATGACTGGCTATCGCCCTGGCTTGTATTGGCAATTAACTTGGCGTTATATTGGTCCAGCGATTATGGCTTGTATATTGGTATCATCCGTTGTCTTTATGATTATTAAGAATCCCACTTATGGTGCCTGGAATGCAGAACTGGTTCGTTATGAACGTAGTAAAGTCAAAAGAGTTTTTAAAATTTTTCCTTTTTTCTTTAATCTTCAGGGTCTTGTTGAACAAACCAATTACCCATCGTGGGTTATGGTCATTGCTTTATGTATGATATTAGCTGGTGTCTTACCAATGCCAATAGTGTTCCTAATGCGCAGCTTCCAGTGTCTCAAAGTCGATTTGGATATACATCAAGGTTCAATACGTCGCAACGAAACCACAGCATCTACTAAAGAAATGATTGATAACGATGATGAGGTAAATCTTATTTTCATAATGCTTTAGTTTTCAAAATTTTTAGATTTCATTCCATTGGTTTCTTTGTATTAAAGAAAAAAAAAAAAAAAAAAACTTATACATATGTACAATTTGTATGGTATAAGTGTGTGTTACGTTCTCTTATTTGGGTTATGTACATATGTATTTGTATTTATGTTGTTTGCTGATATCATTTTTTACTTTCTTGTAAATCCTCTCTTAACAAAATTTTCATTTTCGACTTCATTTAATGATAAAACCATTCACTTAATTACTTTGTTGTCGTATTTTTTCATTTTGAAAACCAATCTGCTTTCTTCGTTACGTGTTTTTTGTTTTTTGTTTTGGACTTTTTTTTTTTTTTTTTTGATTAACAAAATCATAATTGAAAAAATTAACAACAATAATAATATAGATTGCGAGCCCGGACATGCCACCTCAAGATTCATTAGCTGCGACCCGTTTTACTATCGGAGATTTTGAAGTAAGTTGTAGTTTCAGAGTTGTTGCTTCTTTCAACTCATCCTCACATGTAGTTACATTATTCTTATTCAAAGGATTTAAACGTTATATGTGATCATTTAATGTTTACAAATTTCGGATAACTTATGACTATACTTACAATATGGTAGGTATGTTAGGATTGTTCACGACACTCGTTAATAAATTATCGGAATATACCTCGACTACTTGCGAATGTCTTCTCGGTCTATTTGTTATGTTTTATCTCAACGAGAAGATCTCGAAAATTCCAAATCATTTAATTCCATTCGGATACAGTCACCATTGTAGCTTTTAATTTTATCGATTAGCCTTTCTTTCTATCGAAACGAATTTGCGAGCGACATTGCCAGCAAAAGAATGAAAAAACAGAGCAAGCTTATGGTCTATTAATAACTTCAGGCTTGTCATATAAACAATTTACTTACTTTAAACTGACTGTCTGGGAAGCGACATCGGAGAGGCTTAAATACCAATAAACACCTATTCTATCAATCTCATGGTGAAGGCAAGAACGCTAAGAGGACTTACTTCGCGAGTTGTTTTTTATTTTGATATTTGACTGGCTAATCGGAGCATGTCCTTTAGATATATTATTATTATTATTATTATTATTATTAATTTCGCCAGAGAAATAAATTCTAAGACTAAACTCTTAAAAGCACTAGCATCTAAGGCTATCGGCTTTTTATTAAAAACTCTACCGCACTTGAGATTCGAACCCACGACGATTGACTTGCTAGTCGGGATTCCTTTAGATATAAAGACAATATGTTGGTCAAAAAAGCTTACAGGTAGTCGAAAATAATAAATTTGCGTACGTTCGCCTTGCGAGTGGAAATATCCGTAACATCAGAAAAGACAACTACAAGTCGATTGTCCAAAAGCAGGCAACGCAATTAAGCCGCCGCGATAGTACTTCACCCAGTTTGTTAACAACTTCGGAACGAATAGCTGGTTGCGTGCGAAAACCGGCTAAGCCTGTTGGAGAACTTGATTGGTGGATAATTGCCTTTTATCTCTGTAGGACACTTGCACTGGATATATCTGTACGTAAACGTACTGAAGACTATATTATATCGCTGCCCAGGATACAGGGGAAGTTTTCTGAGTAACTACGGTCACTCAACCTTTCGATGCACAGGTTATCTTGACAAATGACAACCGATGCCTCCACGGTGTAGGACAATCACAACTTAAGGGGCCCCTACTACTCCTGAGGTACCAAAATAGGGAATGGGCCGTTTTCCAGCCTTATAGGTATGGGTCGTAGGTTATCCAAACACCTCTTCTTCGGATCACCACGACACTTCGGGGTAACCGCAGCCTCGACGGTACTCCCCGGAGGACAGTACCCAACAGTCATGTTAGAAGACATTCGTCCCGATAGTCAGATGGGTTCTCCATCTTCCTACCAAGAGCAATCCAGCTTTTGGGCAACCTGACACCCGTGGACACCTATTACTTTCATGACTCCTCTAGTATAGAACCTACGCTATGCTTTACAGCCCCGGGTGGTCTCCTACTGTACGCAACCAAAGTCGCTCTTGCCTTTGGATTGCGCCACACGCCCCAGAAGGCCATCCAAACACTATCCTTTCACGGTCGTTACCGCGTAAGCACACTCCTAACACCGAGCCATCTTCGATATCACTGATTGTAACGCGTGTGACAACCTCAACAAAAGAGAACCAAAAGAGAGGAGAAAAATGCTGCGTTGAACAGTGCAATTCTCGAAAGTGGGCGCCATAAAAAGCAACAGTGAACTTTTATAGGGAGGACAACGAAAAGGTGGGAGTTTCAGTAGGGCATCTCATAGTTGCGCTTCACAAATACCTAAAAAAATTTAGCTTTGGAGTGTTTTAGGGATTTTTTGATATTTATTGCTGCCATTGTATGACTCTTAAATGACAAACAATTTGACTTACGAAACTTCTACTTTGCTATTTAACGACTTTAAATCCTATACAGGTGTCCCCCGCTTTATACGTTACACGTTCCGCACGTTTTCGGGGTAAACTAAATATAAAAAGAGAAGAAAAGTACCAGTTTTAACTTCAAACGCACTTATTGCTACTTCATACTTCAAATATATATATATGCAAGATAGATATATATCCTTATTTATCTATTTATTATTATTATTATTTTTATTTTTTTTTTGAGACTCTAAGGCGCCACATATGTAATTCGAAAAAAAAACTGTCAAATAGATGTTGCAATCAACTTGATGTGTAAATCAACTGGAATTGTTGCTTCCATGCTTCCCCCGGTTAACCTATTATTTTTATGTTCTGCTAAACATGGTGTTCAGTTCATCTGACTGAAAGAGATATAATAGATTATATACAAAAATTTTCAAATTCATTTTATATAATTTTATATGGAACTCATTTACCGTGTAAAGGGGGGGAATAGGTGTACTCTATACATATATATGAGTATATGAGAGAGTTTATACACTCGTACAATTCTTAAGGTAAGAAATGTCGGCTTATACCGATTTACTTATGTTAAATGGTTTATAACGTTACAACAAAAACATTAAATGATCACAATATCCTTATTGCGGCAGGTCTTTTTTACTAATACTTTTTATTTTATTTTTGTATTTTATTTCGTTTTTTTTTAAATATCTTTCTTCTAAACAGACTTAAATTTTGAAAAAATTGCAAAAAAAAAAAAATTAATTTTTTTTTAATGTCTACAACCGCCAAGGAATAAGTAAATTCATAATCTCGCGATATACATATATATATAAATATATATGTGTATGATAAAAAAAGTATTGGAAAAATAATATTATAATTTTACCCTAAAAAAAAAAAAAAATAATAAATAAAAAAATAAAAATTAAAAAACGACGTAACAGTTACCTCCAAATAGAAAAAAGCAAATAATAATAAATAAATAAATAAATAAATAACTGAAACCAAAACCTTATTCGTAAAAAAATTTAAGACATAAATAAATAATATTTAATCGAATTCTCATCGACATTCGCATTTTCTTCTCACTAAACATGTAAACAAACATACACTCGAAGACACATTGACAAGGCCATATATTAACGTAACGTTAAACCATAATATTCTGCTCACCCAATTATATTATACTTTGCTACGCTTAAAGAT